GAAGGGAAGTAACCCTGGAAAAGGACTTGCTACCTCAAGTCCTAATGGAAGGGGATTTCCCTTCTAAACACTCACACCTCTCCCCTCCTCCCATCCCATCAATCATCACCAGATCTTCATTAAAGGTAAGTGTCAATTATTTTATTGTTTTTATTCTATTGCATTAAACTTAATATTCCATGTAGTAAAATTTTTTTTTCATACTTTTGGGTGTCTTGCATTGATTAATTTGATTTCCCTTATTTCTTATGAAGAAAATTGATTCGGTTTTCGATATTATCGGTATTCGATGAGCTCTCAGGAACAGATTAATATCGAATACCGGGGGTCCACTGTACATAGTTCATATGGTCATTAGATGAGTTACAGTGAGTACAGTAGAATTGTATGTTCTATCAGGTGACGCTACATGATTTTGATAAGTCTAGTAGAGACTTATTACACTCTTGAATTAGTAACAATTTAAAGCAATTTACAATATGATGTATTACAGTTTAGTACTATTTAAAACAATGAAATTTGGTATTACAATGGAACAATTTACATTATGATGTACTGCATTGCAATCTACTACTATTTAAAACAATGGAAAAATAGACATCCTGATTTTGAAGTAGCAAGTGGTTGAGCATTCATCAGCAAAATATTAGTAGCTTTTGAGAAACTGGTAGTGACTAGGTACGGTTTGTCTGGTTAATTGTAGGTGATGAGGTGATTTTGTTATTAGGGCCTTAAACTGACTTGCAGACAGGGGTCCTTTAGTGTGTTCTGACAATGAATTCCAGATCTTTGGGCATTGTACGTGCATAGCATTTTTGCATAGGGAGAGATGAACACGAGGGATATCAAAGAATGATCCATGTCTCGTATTATGGTTGTGTTTACATTAGAGTATAGTGTTCTGCATATGTAGTATGCACAATAATAAGTGTAGATGTTTTGTATATTTATCAAGTTAAGACTCTTGAAAAGAGGTGAAGTGTGTTGTCTAATGCAGGAATTAGTAATCCATCGCACTGCAGCTTTCTGTTGGGTTATTAACCCCTTCAGGGTCCAAGGCCCAAATCTGAAGTGGTGCCCCAGTGTCCAAGAATTTTCAAAAAAAAAATTTGATATTTTTTCTTATGAAATGGTAGAGAATCTTTTTGTGAAGGTAATAAAACAAAAAGTACGAAATTTGATGGAAAATTGACGAAATTATGCTCTCACGAATTTTGATGTGTCAGCGATATTTACGAATCGGCGATTTTGACAACTTTGACTCCCATTTTAGGCCAATTACATTATTCCAGTCAACCAAATTCTTAGCTATTTCACTAGTATTACTTCTATTCTATCGATTGAGCACAAGAAATCGCCAAGTCAACTGTTTCAACTACAAATTAAAGTGATCTGAAATTGTTAATTTGGCCAATTTAACACAAAGTTCAAAATATCCCAATTTCAAAATAGGGTCCAGAATAAACAATGTAGGTATTCCTGGAACTAAACTAACATTTCCTCTGTTCATTAGTTATGTTTTGAAGCTTTACAAATAAATTCCATTTTGATTTTTTATTCACATAATGAATTTTTATTCACACCAAAAAATAGAAGATTTACTGTTATGCAATACTGTAATAATTGTATAAATATCATCACCATATTTGTGAATGCATATTAGACCCACCAGCTGGCGTGTATTAGACGTGTGAGGTCGTTTGTTTACTCTTGAATATCGGCAAAAATTTAACATTTCTGCTACTTTGAGCTCAGTTTCAAGCCATTTCCAGTGCTAAAACCAATCAAAATCATCTCTATTTCTGTAATATGACTTCCATTCTATCAAATGAGACCAAGAAATCACAAATAGACCTATAAAAAACATACGAAAAAACACTGCAAAGTTGCTGTTTTAATCGAAAAATCATGATTTAAATTTTTTTCTCTCATTATACACAGCGTGCTGCAGGATCTGTTTATGTGGTGCACACATACCACATAGATGTATTCTCTCATATCTAGGCCCAAATGTACCACTCACAGTTTATCAGAGTGAGCTGAGCTCATGACGTAGATCTACGGTTTGGACCCTGAACGTAAAGCCGTAGATCTACGGGACGGATCCTCAAAGGGTTAAAGGCTTAAGGTGATTTGCTATGGTTGAGTCCCATGCACAAATACCATAGGTGAGGTAAGAGTAAATGAGAGAGTGGTACAAAGTTAGAAGAGCCGATTGGGTACATAGTACTCTATGGCAAATGGGACAATTTTCCTTTGTTCTTCTTACATCATTGCTTATGGATTCAAATAAATAAGTTTATTTAGGTACAAGTACACATAAATACAGTTACACAAATTATCGTTCATAGAAAGATGTGTTTAAATTACCTAGGATAACCCAAAAATTTCAGACTAGGTGACTAAATTCCATTTGGTCCTTGGTTTCCATTGGGATCCTTGATTTCCATTGTTTGTCTTTGTGTACTGAATAGTTGTTTTCAGTTTTCTTTTGCTTGGCAGTATTTTTGTGTCTCATGTCACTCAATTTAGCTACAGTTGAACATTTGCAGGACACTGTTACTCATGGGTCAGGTACAGTATGTAAACTGGACCTGACTCACCTTGTTCTCTTTCTACCCAGTAGCTTGATGCGTACAAGTGAATGTGTCTGCATCTAGAACTGCATATTGATTTATGGTGTTTTTTCTTGCATTTTAATTTTTTTTTTAAATGAAATCATATGTTGGAAATACAGTGGACCCCCGCTTAACGATCACCTCCAAATGCGACAAATTATGTAAGTGTATTTATGTAAGTGCGTTTGTACGTGTATGTTTGGGGGTCTGAAATGGACTAATCTACTTCACAATATTCCTTATGGGAAAAAATTCGGTCAGTACTGGCACCTGAACATACTATTGGAATGAAAAAAGTTCGTTAACCGGGGGTCCACTGTACTACAAAAAATCGATGGTTATTCCCCAGTAATGTTGAGTGAACATAAAATGTTTCATCACTGCACAGCTGAACATGACCAAAACAAACCGACGGTGTGCAAATGGCGGCTTTTGTGTATATACTGCAATTTTACTTCTGCTTTTAATATATGATAATTCTTTCTTAAAATCAGGATTGTCTGAGGTAAATAAAAGTATTACTACTGATTGGTTTGGTGGTAAACAGGTGAATTAGCCTACCAATCCTACTGTAGCTTACTGCTACTAAGTGCCAATGAATTTTTTTAATTGTTATTTATTCATTATTTTATGCAAAACAGTTTACATAAGCTTAGATTACTGTTTAGATTTGAAAAACTTCTCTAGGCTTAGGTTGAGGCCACTGAGCAATGCAGGTGTGACTTGGATCTGCCTAGCATGGGTCAGTAGGCCTGCAGCAGTGCTCCTTCTTTATCATGTTCTTATGTAGCCTTCAGCCTCAAAGACGCTGTGTAAATTTTTGAGACTTGTTTTGGAAAAAAATAGTATCTTAGATGCTGTAAAATATGGTCTACCTGGAGTCTACCTGGAGGGAATTCCAGGAATCAATGCCCCTGTGGCCCGGTCCATGATCAGGGCTCCCAGTGGATTAAGGCCTGATCAATTAGGCTGGTACTGCTGGCCGCACATATCCAACATATGAGCCACAGCTCGGCTGATCCGGCACCAACTTTAAGTATCTGTCCAGCTCCCTCTTGGAGGCAGCCAGGGGCGTATTGGTAATTCCCCTTATGCCTGGTGGGATTCTCTACCATTTTATAAGAAAAAATAACAAAATTATTTTTTGAAAATTCTTGGACACTGGTGCACACTTTGAAATTTGGCCTCTGGACCCTGAAAGGGTTAAATTAGTTGATTCCTTTGTACCCGGCAGCGTTTCCATATCATTTACACCATCTGTGCCCAGATGTGAGCATGCTGAATATAAGTTTATACAGTAGACCGTTATATTACACGACATTATTTGCCATGTTTTGGTTATTGCACTATTGAAAAATTGCAGCACAATTTTATACAACACTTCGTAAAATTAACTTAGCATGGTTCTGTGTTGGGCGCGGAAAAAAGTTCCCCAGCTCAAGCTGCCGCCTTGTTGTGGGTCAGACCATTGTGTCAGCAGATGAAGACCTACCGCCATCCCCTGCCACCTCCGACACTCTTGGCACCACCATCCCATCTTTCGTGAATACATGTCCAGTACCATTCTATCCTAGGAGCTAGCTGTGTTTGTGAATTGTGTTTTGATCTTTTAATTTCCATATCCTGTATCTGCCAAACAATCAGAGCACCTAGTAGGCATATGAGTGTTGCTGAAAGTGGCAAGAAAAGGTATAAATGTTTAAGTCTTAGTATTAACAAAGAAAATAGAGATGTTAGACAAGAGCTTGTGGCCTTGAGGAAGCATCATTTTGTACACTTAAAAAGAGTGAGATAAATATATGAGTTTGTGTGATGAATAACTGACTGACTGACTTGACTGACTGACTTATTTGACTGGCTTATTTGACAGACTTATTTGACAGACTTATTTGACAGACTTATTTGACAGACTTATTTGACAGATGTCTGTCAAGTAAGTCTGTCAAATAAGTCATTCAAATAACAGACTTGACAGACTTATTTGGCTTGACAGACTTATTTGACTTGACAGACTTATTTGACTTGACAGACTTATTTGACTTGACAGACTTATTTGACTTGACAGACTTATTTGACTTGACTGACTTGGCTTACTGACTTCACTGACTGACTTTACTTACTTGATTGACTTACTTGACTGACTTATTTGACTTGACTGACTGACTGACTTACTGACTAACTTGGCTGATTTACTGACTGATTTGACTGACTTACTGACTGACTTACTTGCCTGATTTACTGACTTTAAGTTAGACTTTTTCACTGAAGAGGACCCTGACAAATCTAGAAGCAGTGCTGTGAAACAGTGTCTAGAGCAGTTGATGCCCTACCATCAGCTGTATAATGTACTGCAGGGTAAAATAGCCCAGAAATCTATTACAGAATTTATGCACACTCCAGTACAACCATCGACTTCAGTACCAGAACCTCTACCATCCACCTCATCCCAGTAGGGCCACAGCATAACTGTTCACTCTCTTCACAATCATCCACAAACTCCATTACACACAACTTAAGGTAAGAAATAGTATTATTTTTGTTGCATTTGTAGTCTTAAGCAGTAAAAAAAAACATAATGCATCACAACAATGAATTACAATTACCTGTTCACTTTTATTTTTGTAAGATCTAGAGGTCTAAAAAAAAAGTTGTTTGGCTTTTTGGGGATTACAGGAATGTAACCCTATTTTTCCCATAAGTTCTTCAGTTTATCTAACATGAATTTACCTAACACAACATTTTCAGGAATGTAGCTACCGTGTAATATAACGGGCTACTGTATACAAATTGAGGGCAGACTGAGGCTCTCTCAGTGTTTATACCCTCTACTTATCTTCCTTTGCATAATACCTGGAGGTGTTCTGAGGTCAATGCCCCTGTTGCCAGGCCTTGTGGTGCATCAGGGCCTGATCAACCAGGCTATTATTGCCTGCCACATGCAAACCAATGTATGAACCCGACTGGTCGGGCACTGACTTTAGGTGCTTGACCAGATCCCTCTTGAAGACAGCCAGGGGCCTATTGGTAATCCCTCTTATGTATGCTGGGAGGCAATTGAACAGTCTTGGGCCCCTGACACTTATTCTGTTTTCATTTAGTATACTCATGGCCCCACTACTTTTCAGTGGGGGAACCTGGATGTAATGTGTATATAGTACCTACTTCATATATATTTATGCATCAGTTTACTTAGTACACTTGTACAGTGGACCCTTGGTTATTGGCTGGTTTGGCTATCGGTCAACTTGGTTATCGGCCGGTTTGGCTATCGGTCAACTTGGTTATCGGCAGGGTTTTTGGCGATCGGTTATCGGCCGTTTTGGACGCGTCCATCTGCCGACTGGGGCAGCTTATGCTTCAGCTTGGCTTTGTCTCTCGGTGGCTGAGGAAGCTTCTGCCCTTACATCCAAACATTTCACTTGTTTACCATTGTTTTTAGTGGTTTTTCTTGCAGTGCAACTGTGAAATAAGTAACCATGGCTCCAAAGAAAGTTCCTAGTAAAGTTCCTGTGGTAAAGAAAGTGATAAACACCATGGAATTTAAGCATGAAGTGATACAAAAATATGAGAGTGGTATGAAGGTGGTGGAACTTCCCAGGATGTACAGCAAGAATAAATCAACAATTACATCCATCCTGGCAAAGAAAGAACTAATCAAAGACGCTAATGTTGCAAAAGGAGTAGCTTTTCTAACTAAACAAAGGACACTGATAATGGAAGAGATGGAAAACTTATTATTATTGTGGATTAAGGAAAAAGAATTAGTGAGAGAGAGTGTAGTGGAGTTTACTATTTGTGAGAAGACAAAGCAGTTGCATGAGGATCTTGCAAAGAAAATGCCTGAAGCAAGTGCTGCAGTTTGTGAATTTAGGGCCAGCAAAGGATAGTTTGATAGATTTAAGATGCATAGTGGTATACACAGTGTTGTAAGGCATGGTGAGGCTGCAAGTTCTGATAAATGTGCAGCTGAAAAGTATGTTCACGAATTCCAGGACTATGTAAAGGCTGAAGGATTTGAACTCCAACAAGTTTTCAATTGTGATGAAACAGGCCTTTTTTTGGAAGAAAATGCCAAACAGGACCTACATTACCTAGGAGAAAAAGGCACTGCCAGAACACAAGCCTATGAAAGACAGGCCAACTCTTTTGTTGTGTGGTAATGCCAGTGGGATTTCAAAGTGTACTTGTGTATCACTCAGAAAATTCCAGAGTGTTTAACCCTTTCAGGGTCGACAGGCCCTTTCCCAGACTTGTTCTCAGGATCGATAAATTAAAAAAAAAAAAAAAAAAATTCTCATGAAAAGATAGAGAATCTTTTCCCGATCATAATGACACCAAAAGTATGAAATATGATAGAAAACTTACGGAATTATGCTCTCGCAAAGTTAGCGGTCTCGACGATGTTTACGCATCGGCGAGTTTGCCCACTTTGAGCCCTATTTTCGGCCAATTCCAGTGTACTAGTCGACAAAAACCATAACTATTTCACTAGAACTCCATTTTTTCTATCAAATGAGTACAAGAAACCACCCATTTACCGATTTCAACTATCCATTAAAGTGGTCAGAATTTAGCAATTTTGCCAATTTCACACAAATTTCAAAAGATGCCAATTTCCAAATAGGGTCCAGAATAAACAAGAAAGACATTCCTGGTACTAAAATAACATTTCCTCTGTTCATTAGTCACGTCCCCATGCCCCTCTTACATTCTTTTGCTTTCCACTTTGAATTTTTATTCTCACAAAAAATAGAAGATTTACTGTTATGCAGACTACTGCATTAGTGTAGAAATGGTATAAATAATATCAGCTCACTTGTGAAAGAACATTAGATTCACCAGTTGACATGTATTGGACGCATAGCATGATTTGTTTACTTTTGAACTTTGGCAAAAATCAAAGATTTCTGCTACTTTGAGCTCAATTTCAAGGTACTTTTCATTGTAAAACCAATCAAAATCGTCTCACTTCTGTAATATGTCTTCCATTCTATAAAATGAGACCAGGAAAACTAGAATACCATCATAAATACTATACGAAAATACAGTGCAAAGTCGCTGTTTTAAACCAAAAACACGGTCAAAGTTTATTCTTTCTCATTGCGCACTTTGTGCTGCAGGATTTTTTTATACTGTGCACACTGATCACATAGACCCATTCTTTTATATGTAGGCCTACCAGCTTTCTCTCACTAGATTTGAGGGCACTAGAATTTAGGCGTACTAGTATGTCAAAAACCCTGGTGCGTAAGCCGTACTAGTACGTGAGAAACCCTGAAAGGGTTAAGAAAAACAGTGTCATGAAGAATAGATTGTGTGTGATGTGGAAAGCTAATCATAAGGCATGGGTCACAAGGCAAGTTTTCAGAGAGTGGGTTAATGATGTGTTTGGCCCAAGTGTGAAAAAATACCTCATGGAAAAGAAATTGCCATTCAAGTGCCTCCTGGTACTGGACAATTCTCCTGCACATCCTCCAGACTTGGGAGACCAAGTGTTTAGGGACTACAGTTTTATAAAAGTGAAGTTCTTGCCTCCTAACACCACTCCTCCCCTCCAGCCCATGGACCAGCAGGTCATTTCTAACTTCAAAAAACTCTACACAAAAGCAGTGTTTCAAAAGTGCTTCGAAGTGACCTCGGACACTCAGTTGACCCTTGGAGAGTTCTGGAGGAATCACTTCACTATCCTCCATTGCATAAGCCTTATAGGTATGGCTTGGGAGGGAGTGACTTTCAGGTCTTGGAACTCTGCTAGGAGAAAACTGTGGCCAGATTGTGTCCAAGAGAGGGATTTTGAAGGGTTTGAGACTTGTCGTGACCCTGACCCTGCTGACTCAGTAGACTCTATTGTGTCTTTGGGGAAGTCCCTGGGGTTGGAGGTGAGTGGTGAGGATGTGGAAGAGTTGGTGGAGGACCACAGGGAAGAGCTTACCACTGAAGAGCTGCAAGAGCTTCAACTTGAACAGCAAAAGATTGCAGTGGTGGAACTTGCTTCAGAGGAGGAGGAAGAGGGAGTGAAGGAGGTGCCTTCTTCAGAGATTAAAGAGGTGTGTGCAATGTGGACCAGGGCGCAAGCTTTTGTAGAGAAACACCACCCTGACAAAGCTGAAACAAGGGATATCTGCAACATGTTTGGTGACAAAACCCTGTCCCACTTCAGGGAAATCTTAAAGAGACGCCAGAAACAGAGCACTCTGGACAGCTATTTTGTGAGACAGGGGTCCAGTGACTCTCAAGCTGGTCCTAGTGGCATTAAAAGACAGAGAAGGGAAGTAACCCCAGAGAAGGCATTACTACCTAAAGTCTTCATGGAGGGGGATTTCCCTTCCAAACACTAATTCCTCCCTCCTTCCTCCTCCCTATCTTCTAGAAGCCAGAATTAGCCTTCAATAAAGGTATGTAATACAGTGGACCCCCGCATACCGTTGGCCTTACATAACGTTAAATCCGCATACCGATACATTTTATCGCTAAGATTTTGCCTCGCATACCGCTAAAAAACCTGCTCAACGCTGTTCGTCCGAGACGCGTCTAATGTGCGGCCTGAGCCAGCTTCACATGTTCCGCCGGTGGCATTGTTTACCAGCCAGCCTCCGTGGTAACATCCAAGCATACAATCGGAACATTTCGTATTATTACAGTGTTTTTGGTGATTTTATCTGCAAAATAAGTGACCATGGGCCCCAAGAAAGCTTCTAGTGCCAACCCTACAGCAATAAGGGTGAGAATTACTATAGAGATGAAGAAAGAGATCATTGATAAGTATGAAAGTGGAGTGCATGTCTCCGAGCTGGCTAGGTTGTATAATAAACCCCAATCAATCATCGCTACTATTGTGGGCAACAAAACGGCAATCAAGGTTCAACTGTGTTTTCGAAACAGAGATCGCAAGTGATGGAAGATGTTGAGAGACTCTTATTGGTATGGATAAATGAAAAACAGATAGCAGGAGATAGCATCTCTCAAGTGATCATAAGTGAAAAGGCTAGGAAGTTGCATCAGGATTTAATTAAAAAAATGCCTGCAACTAGTGATGATGTGAGTGAATTTAAGGCCAGCAAAGGTTGGTTTGAGAGATTTAAGAAGCGTAGTGGCATACATAGTGTGATAAGGCATGGTGAGGCTGCCAGTTCGGACCACAAAGCAGCTGAAAAATATGTGCAGGAATTCAAGGAGTACATAGACAGTGAAGGACTGAAACCTAACAAGTGTTTTAATTGTGATGAAACAGGCCTGTTTTGGAAGAAAATGCCAAGCAGGACCTACATTACTCAGGAGGAAAAGGCACTCCCAGGACATAAGCCTATGAAAGACAGGCTTACTCTGTTGATGTGTTCCAATGCAAGTGGTGATTTGCAAAGTGAAGCCTTTATTAGTGTAATCACTCAGAAACTCCCAGAGCGTTCAGGCAAAGAATGTCCTCAAGGCTAATTTGTGTGTGCTGTGGAGGGCAAACAGTAAGGCATGGGTCACTAGGGACTTTTTCTATGACTGGTTACACCATGCATTTGCCCCAA